CTCATGCAAACACAAGAGAACACGATCTTGTTTGGTGTTGCTGAAATGAAACCTTTTCTGGTTCTATAATAGAGAAATACAATGAACTAATTAAAGCCTACTTATGAGTTGTCCCACATCGTTTATATAGAAAAATAGGCCTAACATATAAACCTAGTGGGCTATCCTTCCACCAATTGGTTTTGGGATAGAACCTCACTATGGTGCATCTAGGCTCACCATCGTATGTTACGCTTTACGTGCATGGGACAGCACCCGTTCTACCCCTGTCTACATGGTACAGAGCCAGTTCTACATAGGACCGTGGCAATGACCTACCCGTTACCCGGCCCCGTATATGGACTTGGGCTTCGTATGAAGGGTTTACAAGTGATGGGGCATATTAGAATATAATATAACTTGTGAGTTGTTTCACATCGTTTATGTAGGGAAAATAGGTCTAACTTATAAGCCTAGTGGGCTACTCCTCCTTCCACTAATTGGTTTTGGAATGGTAGTTCACTATGGTGCATCTAGACTTCTCCCTGCAGGTCACTGTTCAAGAAAGTTGATTTGGCATCCATGTGGTGTACCTCTCATCCCTCGTGCATCGGAAGGGCAATAAGGAGGCGAACCAAGTCCAGTCGTGCAACCACCGCGATTACCTCTTCATAGTTGATGTCGTGTTGTTGTGCGTAGCCCTTCACCACGAGGCGTGCCTTGTGCTTGGTCACCGCCCCGTGCTCGTCCCTCTTCACCTTGAACACCCACTTCACCTCGATAGTCCTTACGGTCAGGTGGGAGTTCGGCGAGGCACCTCAAATCGTTCTCCTCGATGGACTTCATCTTCTCCATAGTCGCCTTTCTCCAATTGGGACTGATCTCTGCCTCGACGAATAAGGCAGACTCATCGACGCTCACCGCGTGAAGCTCCTCAATCACCATTGCAAGCGGTGCGAAGCCTCGTGGCGAGGTTGGCCTGATGATAGCATCAACACTGCAGAAATGGAGAGGTGCGTCATCGTCGTGGTCAGCATCCAGGTTGTCATTGTTAATGACGTTCAGTGAACCGGGCTCTAGTTCGCCCCCAGCCACGCCAAGAAGAGACGACTACTCTATTGGTGCTCCTCCTCCAGGCACCTTGACGATGTCATCAACCTCATGCGTGGCCGGGCCTGTAGTGGTGTACTCTAGTGTGAACATGTCGTCACCGTCGGTGCCCCAGTCCCACTAGGCTTGCTCATCGAACACCATGTCATGTGTCACGTGGACACTCTTCGTGATGGGATCGTAGGCATGGTACCCTTGTTGCTGCGCTCGTAGCCGATGAAGATCATCTTGTGGCCGCGATCATCCATCTTCTTTAGGTGCGGCGCCGTGTTGCACACGTAGACAATGCAACCGAACATTCTGAGATGGTGCACTGTCCGCTTCCACCCATGCCATGCTTCAAACAGTGTCATCCCCTCCACGCTCTTGGTTGGGCACCTGTTCAGCATATACACAACGGTACTGACCGCCTCACCCCAGAACCATCCAGACAGGCCCTTGGCCTTGAGCATGCTCCTCGCTGTTGTTACCACAGTGCCATATCGGTTTTCGACTAGACTGTTATGTTGCGGGCTTTAAGGTGTCGTGTGTTGATGGTGCACGCCCTCATCTGCGAATTAGTCCGTAAACTCGGTCACGATGAACTTGTCACCACGATCGGTGTGGAGCGCCTTCAGTCTGACGTCGGACTCGCCTTTCGCCCGCACTTGAACCTCCTTGATGGCCGCCGCGGCACGATCCTTTGAGGGAATCGTGGCTACCCACATGTATTTGTGGTAACAACAATTTCAAAAACAAAATCATGCAATTAATTTTTCCAAAATGGATGCAAGCAAACAGAATATAAAAAATAAAAATAAAAATAATCTTACTACAAATCTAGGTTGCACGCTTTCAAAAATTCAAATGGATATTCTGTTCATTAGGGTCTTGAAGTAAGAAAAAAAAAACATCCATNAAAGGTGTTCGTAAAATCTCTTCTGATAATAACTCATGAAGGTAATTACTTGTTCATGTTTTTTATATGGTGCTCAATAGAAATAATGTTGTCTTTTTTATTTTGATGATTTTTTTTGTGATATGACCAGGGGTTATTTATGGATTTTCAGGAATATGTCTAATGTAACTATATTTATTCATCACAGTGGAGTATTGATCAACAATGAATACGTCGATAAATTCGAGATAAAAAAAAATACCAGAAAATCAAGCCACCGATTGGAAGAGTTAGGTCAGGGCGTCGACGCCAGCAAAGATTCAAACCAGGATGGGAGCCTCGGGTTACAAACAGATGCAACAAATGTGGAGAGAAGAGGCACAATGTAAAAACATGTTCAATTCGAAGAGAGTGAAACAATCTTAGTGCCACGTTGACACAGATTGTTAAAGTGTGTGTTTTTTTTATTTTTAACTAGTAATAATATGAATGAAGATATGTTGTCGCCGGTAGAGTTGTTTAATTTATGGATATATTTAGTATAATTATGGCCTAAGCGTCAACTAAGAAAATTGAATTATTTTACTTGTAACTTATATAACTTGTATATAATATGCATATAATATTGTTATGTACTGTTTATGTTTCGATAACGGTTGTGTATCTTCTGTATATAAATAAATAATCAATAATAATAGACAAACAATGAATTTGATTCTTATCTAATCTACTAGTATCACTAACGTATATTAAAAATGTATACTTACTAAAGAGGATTTTTTTTTTTCGTTGACATAAACGTTAGTTAAACAATAAATATTCATACATAAGACCCCGCCATGTTTTGGTCTTTTATATGTAAATTTCAAATTAAACAAGGAAATCGGCTAACAAAAAAGTATCAATAATATATGTAAACTGAAAGCTTACAACGTGCAAATATAAAGTCAAAACAAAGCACGAATATTTATACCAGGTAGCTCACAAACAAAATAAATCATTCAACAAACGTAAAGTCATAATGACAAAAATAGTTCGAATATCAATTCATTAAGATAAAACGTTACTTCATAATGTTTAACTATTATAACTAACTGGCAACGTTTCGCACGCTCCAAATCATAAAGCATCTCAGGCGAATCATCATCGCTCTTATACGCCTTAGCTTGCTTCAAACACGATTTTCTTAAACATCTTCAGCTGGCTTTCGGTCAATAACCTTTTAATCTCATTTATTGTCGCATCACCCTTGCTATTGTCATTGCTATTGAGAATTTTGATATACATCTATCTCGGATTGGGTACGAGCAATTCTCATTCCTTAAATTGAAGAAAAAAAACATAAGAACATATTAATAATATTTACTAGGTTTCTTAAAAATTGACTTTAATAACAAAAAAAGGCATGATCAGATATGGTAAATATATATGAAAAATGCTACAATTACATAATAAATGTACATAGAGGTGTACATAACACTCACATGGAGTGGGGTCTACTTGATTTTTTATTTTTGGTCGGTTCACTCAATGTGAGTGTTATGTACACCCCTATGTACAATATTATTGTCCATAAACAATAAAACTTAATTAATATGATGTATTTATAAGTATGTAAATGCATAGTACACAGTGTCTATTTTAATATATTGAATTTTTAGAAGTATAATAACTAAACAACGTTTTATGAAGACATACTCAGACCATAATAGCATAATACAAGATTAAATGGTTACACTAAAATTATACTTCAGATAAACGTGTACATAATCATACCATGATATACTAACCGTACTCCAAGTTTAATAAGTTATGCTAAACATATACAAATTCTGACCATGGTAGCATAATCCATAAGACGTGTAGGTATACATAAGATAAACAACATATACTTCATCCTGATAAAAGATAAAAACATACACTTTCACAGCCATACAGAAATTATTAAATATATGACATAAACATTATATAAACTTAAACTTAATGTAAACGATATATAAACAACATGTTACATATGAGAATAATTTAAACAAGAGATAGTGTACAACCACAAAACAACCATGAAGTCCCTTGAACATATGAAAATAACCAGCATGGTCCATGTTACACAAGAGGGAAATAAAATAAATACCTAACTTCGATTGGCATATTTTTTTATTTTAATTTTTATGTTTGATGTTGGGTTCGGACACAAAATTGTAATCGCCCTCGGAGTTAACTTCTACTGCATTGGTTGTCTGCTTTTTGGAGCCTCTTGGAACTTCAATTTTCTGAAATTGAAGTTTCTTTTGGACGGACTTACGCTCGGGTGCTTGAAGTTGAGATGTTAGACGAGATCGGGACCGAGTTAATCTAGCTTCGTCTTCACTATTGGCCGATTTGACATCGTTCTTCGCTTGGCCATGGACGAATTTGTGTAGAAAGATGTGGTTTGTGTGGTTATAGTGATGTATTGGTTTTCTGTCTCGATTCTGTTGAAGATACACAATTGCCAAGGATTTGGTGAGAGAAAGAAATCACTTTTTCTTCTTTTTCGGTTGAGTAAGGCAAGTTATGGGATGAGCACGATTCTAAAAAATTATGTTCAAATTTAACTCTATTAGTTATCCGGTTTTGCTATGGAGCCATCGGATGACTCTGCTTATAGAGCTATTCATATTTATCCACAAATGGTGTATTGACGCTTGTCGTACAATCAATACACATTAGACACTTGTCAATACATAAAGTTATGAACGACTTCATAAGGGACCACCCGATGGCTCCATAACATTTCTAGTTAGTTGTCTTTGGTAGTTATATTTTCTTAATTCAAAAACGCTGGAAAACCGACGGCCACATCCTACTTATTTTAATTTAAAATAAATCGTAATTATAAAGATAAATGTATGGTTGCGTATAATTAAAAATAATCATGAAACTGAAAGGATTAGTAAGGGTGTGAATTTCTCTTTATAAAAAAACTCATTTATTCACTCACAAAAAGGAAAAGAAAATAATAATTATAATAAAATTATATCTGTAATCAGTAAATTCAGTATACAATTTTTGTGGCTGCTAATCCTTCTCCTTCACGATTTAATTCCACCGCCCCAATTAGCTCCCTCGCCTTGTTCGCAAGCACCACCCAGTCCGTCCTGCTCAAGACCCAAACCATGACCCCCGCGCACACCCCCTGGGCCCCCAATAGCCCCAGCCATAGGCCCATCAAGCCCAGCCTCATCCCAAAGCCCATAAACACCGCCAGCGGCAGGCCCACCCCATAAAACGAGCCCAGGTTAATCCTCACCCCGACCCCAGGCCTCGCGCTCCCCCTCAACACCCCACACCCCGCCGTCTGCGGCCAGTTCCCCACCGCCGACGGGAACACATAAGCCAGCGACGTTGCCTGCATGAGCACCCCCATGGCCGCCACCGCCTCCGAGGCGTTGGACAAAATGCCCGAGAGAACAATCATGATCTCATACCACCACCACTCGAGGCACACGGAGCAGCAGCTCGGCAGGGCCAGGCTCAGTATCGGGACCCACTCAATCTCGCGGGCCGGGCCCCTTTTCCAGCCCAAACCCCAAGCCCACGCCATGTAGACCGTCAGATTCCCAAGAAAAACGAGATCGGCCACAACCACCGACAAAGCCACACCCTTCACGCCGAGGCCCGTTTTTCTTACAAGCAAGTAATTGACGGGCGCGTGCAAGGCAAGGGAAAAACCCGAGCCCAGCATAAGCGGGAGAGTGATGTTTTGCGACCTCAAATAAATTTTGATAGGATTTATGAAGGACTGGAGAAGAAGGTCCGGGAGGCAGAAGGCGAGATAGGTGGAGGCTATTTTGGAGATTTCGGGGTTTTGGTCGAAAAGGGAGAGGACGGGTCGGATGTTGAGCCATAGGATGGAGATGGGGATGCATGCAAGGAGGAGGAGGAGGATTGTGCGGTGTAGGGTTTGGGCCATGAGGGGCCAGCGGCGGGCCCCGAAGGCCTGGGAGGAAATGGGCTCGGTGCCGGAGGCGAGGCCCGATATGACGGAGTAGCCCGTTATGTTGGCGAGGCCGATGGCAAGGGACCCGCCGGCGAGAGCGGGCTTGCCGAGGTGGCCCAAGAAGAGCATGGATATGAGGGACTTGCCGTAGATGAGTAGGCCGGTGACGATCATGGGGAACGCGATTGTGTACAGCATTTTGATCTCCAAAATTATCTGAAAATGAAAATAAATAAAGAATTTTGATTTTGGACTGATTGACTGTGATATTACTTATTTAAATCAAAGATTGGGTTGGGTTGGGTTGATTGAATTGAAACCTCTGATAAAGTGAGACTTGGTTTGGAGGCATGAAACTCAGAATCTTGATTAATTTGGGAGGTGTTCAAGTCCTCCAGGAGAGGAATTGAAATTGCTGAAGCCATGAAAACAGGTCAACGAGTTCACAATCCTCCCCTTTTTTTTATTCCGTTGATTGGAGCTCAAATGCACTGCCAACAGAAAGAAAAGAAAATAATTATATCATCATAAAGATCTATATGAACAAAGCTTTGATGGAAAATGAAAAACAAGCTGTTGTTACATACCTGAATCACTAATTTAAAGTCTTAAACCACAAAAATGTTATGAACAAAATCTACATGCAGCTCTCTCTCTCTCTCTCTAAATATTTGTGTTGTGTTGGTTTTAAGGTGAAAGTGTGTGTTTTTTCTTTGAGAGTTTGGTGGTGTAGGAACAGATGTAGGCAGGATAAGGTGGAAGGTGGCAGTGAGGAGAGGTTGTCCTATTTGTAACTGAAGCCAGTTTTTTTTTTGTCTCTAGACACTGCTACATCTTTTTTCCTTGGCCTAAAAATGAACAGAATCTTAGGATGTGTACCTCATTATGGAATTTGAATGAATTTATAATTTTATTACATATAAAGATAATTTGAATTTAGAAATTTCATGAATTCTATAAAATAGATATCCTTAATTTGAAAGTCCTAGTTCTTAATCGAGTCCAATTTCCTCAGTTAATGATGAATTTCGATTTATAACTAATTGTGTTATAGAATTTCATCAACTTTTAACGATATTTGGTTTATGGAATTACATTGGTTGTTTAGATACTATAGATTCTATCCCAATTTAATGGAATTCTGTCGAATCGTATAATACTACATTTTAGTTGAATCGTATAATACCGCATACAAATGTTGTTAGGCAATCTAATCGTTAGGTTTGGCATATTGTTTTTCCAAAAAATGCATCTTTCTAGTATGAACATAGTTTTTATTATATTGTGTTTTAAATTTATTATGACAGCCCACGCTCCCCTTTTTACAATAGACACAGACTAATATGCTACCAACTGATATGACAGAAGATTAACATGACCTGGTGAGTGTGATTGAAGATGAACAATTTCATTGAACATGAATATATGTATATTTGTTGGGATTATTTGTTAAATAAAGGAGTTCAATATCAGGCTTGAAATCAATTAACAATACATTAATTTTAGCACTTTGGTCAGTAGATTCACATATCAATAACGTTTCCCTCTTTTTTTTTCCAAAGCTGAATATTAGTTAGAACTTAGAACTTAGAAAAGGAAAAAGGAAAATAAAATAATAGATGATAGATTGTTAGATTTCTCTTTCTTCTTGGGAAATAAAACGAACAAGAATGCAACATGTCGTGAGTGACTGATTTTTTTCAAAACTAGGAATTTAGTTATATCTTTTCACTAATTATCTTGATATTTACACGTGTCGTTATCATTATTTCGCGATATAAACGAAGCACTTCTTATTGTAGTTTCTATCCACTTACTTATTACTAAAATTGATTATGAAACCCACTATGAGGTTTAGTATCTTTACAGTGAGGGAAACAAAATGCTTCTTAAATAGAAGTACCTCATTCGCATGTATTACTACTAAATTTGCTTAGTATATATATATTTTGTAGTTCGACTTAATTTCAGTAGTATATTGCAATTAGTTCTTATTACAAAAATTTTTACTTAACTGACGTAAACATTAAACTAGGGTAAGGCTACGTTAGATGACATATAGATTAGATGCACATATGCATCTAACGGTTACAAATCCCAACGGAATAGTTCCGTAATAGGATTGTAACATTTTCCCATTAAACTAATCGATCCTTCATAATTTGGTAATAAAAATAAATATTTATTCTACGAAAAGTCACTTTTATAATGTTGCTTTCTATAGCATAACATTTATATTTAGATTTAAATATAATACAATTGCCCAAGTGTAATAGTACAATTGCCCAAGTGTAATAGTAGATTTAAATAAAGTACTTATATAAAATCTTAGGAAATAGGAAGCTCATTTACTTATGTACGTGGTTGCATAACAGCATGCATTGCACGTGCCATGGCACTGCCAAGTGGACAAATTTTGTTACCTCACGTGTGAGTTGGGCCTGGAAACAAGAATATTTCCTACTGTATTGACACAAAGTACAAGAAAGGTCCCACCTTCTCTTTTGTCAGCTTACACAAACAGCACTGCATAAAAATATTTATGCTCTAGAAAATTACGGCACCTGGTGAAAATTTTTGATACCTGTACTGGATAAAAACTCTACAAGTTATTGAGAAGCTGTCTCAAGTTAAATTTATCCCTGGATTATTCGATTTTGCTCGCCAAACCCACTACATTTTGGGAATCACATTTTTGCACATCTAACTCTAATGCATATTTTACAAACTTTGGCGCTTTGCAACCTAAAGAATATTCTTTTGTAAACTTTGCAATATGCAGCACATAGGAAATTTATACTATGAGTTGGCTAGTCTGTCTTTCCATATCGTTCGAACAGAGTATGTATTTCAAAAGTTAAGTTAGTAGAATGCAATTAATTCACATAATAAAAATGTTTTTACCAAATATCAACCTCATATAGCATAATAGAGAAAGAGGGCAAGAATGTCTTACCAAGCTGAGACAACCAAAATGCATCAAGTTTTAGTTGCAGCAAATGTAATAAGTAGGGCCATCAGTTGCTCTTGATTCCAGGCTCAAAGAAGTGAACCAGATATAATAAATATGGAAAAAAAAAATGAAATAACAGAAAATTGATTTTCAAATGCATTTTCTTTCACTCACTCAGAGGTTCACTGCCTAAAGTCAGAGGTAGGCCACAGAAAAGGGATGGCACATTGCCAGTTTCCTTTTAATGGCAGGCACAAAATGATACAAAAATTGTCAGACATATCATCACAAAAATATAGGGACCATATCTCAATAACCCTTTTTCTTTTTCCAGTCCCCATCTCAATAACCCCATTTTTTTTACGACCCCCTTTTCCCTTAAGCCGGACATGATATGTGCTGTCTTATTCCCTCATTTCTGGGGTGTGAAGGCCCTGGAGGGTAAATGACGGACAGAAACCTTCACGTGTTATAGTTAACGTGAAAGCTATAGCGGATGAATTGTCAAATCGACTAATTTAATACTACCGATTGTACTGTCGAGCAAAAAAGATTCAAGCTGTTTCTTATTTTTAAAAAAGGAGATCAAAAAATCAAGTCGTCGGTTTCTTAGTGTCACGTCCTACTGTGCAAAAACAAAAACGAAAAATAAGAAAACAACCCAAAATAAGATCCATTTCACAAGTATTATCAGATTCGGTTCGGTTGAAATTGAAAAGGTAGGAAGTTCACAGAGAATTCCCAATTATGGGAAGAATTTTTTCAGACAATCTCAAAGAGAGGGGCTAACCTATGACTGCCTTAGCAGAAATCCAACAAGGCTACCCTCAGAGGACCTTGTGTGGGTGTATGGGAACACTTCATCACATGTCAATAGGATCCAGCTGATCAGCGACTGCTTAAATTGTTCGGAAATTACTGTTGAGCTGCAAAAAAAAAAAAAAAAATAACAATTGTTCACAAGGCAGCACAGTATATCTTTTCTAAATCAAATTCAAACAGCAGTCTGGGCATCGATTTCTCGATTACCAAGTGCCAGGATATTGATATAAGAGAAAATACTGGTTCTAACACTTCTGACTGTTAACTAAATGTTCAGATTAACTCATTATATTGTGCTCCTGGAAAAACCAAGACTCATGAATTTCAGAATTATTATTTCGAAACACCAGCCAATTTGCAAACAGATGAAATGCACGCACAAGCACCAAATACATAATTGAGAGTCAACTGTAGAATGTAGAAAAATAACAATCATGATCCCCCAGAAATGGATAAAATATGAGCGATTCCCAAAGCTACAATTATCAAAGATACATGGAAAAATGAGATATGATAGAGAATCAACCAAATTAAGAAACAAACTACCCTTCAATAATCTGTGGGGACCTAATGCTGGGACCAAGATACTGCTCATGAACATGCAAAACATTCATTCAGCCAAACTCAAAGTGGGCCATCTCTAAAATCACCCTAAAAAAGCATCACAATGAACTCCGTTCCTAATATAAATCTTGGTCCCCACCAGGCATTCAGTATGCTGAGCAGTCATTTACCATGGCAGCCAAAGTCCATTTCTTGGGAGCAATGTAAATATAAATTAGTTTCTAAGAAGTTTGATCATGGATGAATAACTCTCCCTTCTTAGAAAACCAATATTTATAATTATAGTTGCAGTACTCATTGTCCATTGCAGATGGAGCTGGAAGAGTCATTGTTGACAATTCTCCTGGCATAGAGCTAATAATGGACTAGATCAAAATGGCTCAATTAAATTCTAGTGCTTCTTCTATTAGTGAAGTTTCTAGAAAAAAAAAACATATCAAACGGCGCAACGCACCTTGGGTCGCTACGGAAACAGCCTCCTTGTATAATTACAAGGGTAAGGTCTGCGTACAACTGACCCCCCAGACCCCAACCTGTTGGGAATATACTGGGTATGTTGTTGTTGTTGTTGTTGTTGCTGAACTCAATATAGGCTGCGTGCAACTGTAACATCCGTTGCTAAAATTCATGATCAAACTGATGGTTCTGAGTACTGTTGGGAATATACTGGGTATGTTGTTGTTGTTGTTGTTGCTGAACTCAATATAGGCTGCGTGCAACTGTAACATCCGTTGCTAAAATTCATGATCAAACTGATGGCTCTGAGTACTGCAACTATAACAACAACAACATACCCAGTATATTCCCGTTGGGGTCTGGGGGAAATAGTAAGAAGACTACCTGGACTTTAGACTTTTTTATCCACAAAACAAAGAGTACACACAAGAAATGAGATAATTTACTAGGATGACACGTTAATCCGTCTACAAGTAAATTATCATTAATGATCTGTATACTTTACACAACATTCCATGCTTTCTCTTTATTTTCTTATGTCCTACACAACGGAAGATGCCTGGAAAAGAAGTATAAGAACACCACACTGAATATCAAGGTCAGATTTGTTGAAAGTATACAAAATGATGGTAGAAGTCATATTCCATTGGTTGACTTAGAAGTCTTTGGCTATTTTATGAGTGAAACTGAAAAACACGACTAGAGATCAAGCTTCCTCCTGGGGAAAGATAGCTCTCATCCCCTGTGCTGTTTGGCAGTGATGGAGGGAGAGAAAGAGATAAAAAATTAATTGATTCCAATTCTAGACCAGTTGAAACTGAGAGAGAAAGAGAGATGCAGATTTTATCAATTGCAACTATTAATAACTCTTTTCAGACATATTGAGGCGCAATAATAAGTTCCTCAAGAATCACGTGGAATATTGTACTATTCTGCTGGTGGAATAGTTGAGACATGAAAAAGTTGAAAGCACACATTTTAGATCAAATCGCACATTAAATCAAACATTGGTATTATACAAGACAAAAACATTTCGAACCACATGATACATACTTTGTCTTACACACTTCAGCCACTCATAGGTCACGTCTTCAAATTATCTCGAATATCTGCTCAAAGGAAACACCTCATCTGTTAGATTTACTGCCTAAGGGAGAGGAACAAACAAAAGATTATAACCGTAGACACCTCATCTGTTAGAAACAATGATTAAGGAGGAGGAACAAGACATAATGATTAAGGCTGGATCAAAAGACCAAAAGCCAATTAAGATGATTGCAGCTTTGTGGCCAATGACTGACACATTTTTTAACATGACATTACTTTATGAGATATTAAAAGGAAAATAATATATTCTCAGAGAATTTATACATGAACAGAGACCTTACATGTATCGGCATTTCAGCTATTACCAGACCACTGCATTCTTCAAGGGTTTTAAGAATCATTACTTCTCCTCCGACAACCATGCTAATCACGATCCCATCTTTGTAACAGTAATGCATTACATGAAAGAGGCTGTTAAAAAACATGCTACAATAGAAAGTAGGGAAATATTGAAACTGCCTTTGCCAATTTGCATGATTATTCAAAGTAAGATTTATCAGGAACATTAGTTTTTTTACTAACCTTCTGACAAACAGGCTGCCATGCGTCTTGCATAGATCTCCTACAGAAAAATATAACAATTTAGCATTACAAAACAGAGAAGCTAAGATGATTTTGCAATTATGTGCATGACAAGAGAAAAACTGTTAACAACTTTCAATGAAACCAGTCACTGTGATTACATTCAAAGCCGAACTTTTCTTTCTGAACGATGATTATCCATAAAAAAATAGGAGAAGGAACATAGAAAAATGTTCTCCGATCATTGTTTACAACCAAATCCTTTTGAGAAATTTTCATGTTACCTATAGAGTAATCACAGTTTAAATTCAATTGCTGAAATAATGATAATCATAATCAAACGTCGACCTCCAAGCAGTGACGGATCTAGGAGTTTCATTCAGGAGGCGCCGATTTTTAAATGTTATAACGAGCTTGTAGTTTAAGTCGAAATGCGCTCATTTCATATAAAAATTTACTACAAATATAAATATCGATATGTGTACCGTCAAGTTTTTAAAAACTTAAAATCCATATCACCCTCAAACTCTTAAAAAAATAAACAAAAAAAAAGGATTTCATGTATTTATTATTTAAGTTCAACATCGATAGTTTATGAAAAAATAAGTTTTTTGGTTGAAAAGTTGGTTTAAATTAAAACATTGCAGCACATTGCATAGCATTTTTGTTGATGAGAGCTTATCAAATGAACATTTTTTAAGAAAAAATAAATAAATTTAAAAGTATGTGATTACACAAAATAAAAAGAGTAAAAAATCACCATTCAAAAATGTAAAAATCCAACTAAATGTTGAGTTATATAAATCACTAAATCGATTTACAATCAAGTGATCGAAAAAGTAAATTATTATAAATATTTTCAAAAACTTATCTAGAAATGTATAATATAAGGATTGTTATTACATTTTTTTTTAAATAAATAACATTATTAATTTAAATTAATATAGCACATAAATAAGTTTTAATTATTATTATATTGCAAATATTTTTTTATATTTCTATACTTATTTTATAGTTTTTCTTTATATATATATATATATATATACATACATACAGCTCCGTAACTGCCTCCAAGGTCATTCATTATGTTTGTGTTAACATGTGTTTGCTGTAGTGACAGCAATAAACATTGAGCACCAAAACATAGCTTCTAAATTCTATTGGTACATGAAAATGACAACATGTAACCTCCCATTTGTTAACATTTGAAGAGCGAAATGGGACTTTCACCAGAAAGCCGGTCCAGCGATGGCAAGTCAACCTAGGTGGGAGGTGAGACTCGAAACCCGAATAACAAACAGAAATTTTGAAAAAGGGAGACAGAACTCAAATCCTAACCTCGCTCTACTGCCATCAAGATCAAAACAAATTGTATTCCATATCCCAAGGGGACAAGTCTGGGAGCAAACCAGAAAAGGAAAACATATCAACGAGCCCAATCTATGAAATTACAATATAATTGATGTCCTATACCCTAAATACATTAATGATATTATTGTAAGCACACATCGCATGCCTATTCTTTCTTTCCTTTTTGTTGTGCGCATATGTGGTGGGAGATGGGAGAGTGTGAGAGGGAAAAAAACCAATATAAAATATGACCGATGAAGAAAAAGGGATAAGTAAAACACATAGTACCATGGCATTGCTCCCAGAAGATACTAAGGATGGTGCAAATGGTACGTATAGAGGTTTGCAAACTTGAGCTGTACCAGGACTCTAAATCTTATTTACTCAAGACGTCTTGTTTGTAACAAAGCAGCTAACTGTTAAAACGTCTTGTCATAGTAAACATAAGAAGGCAGCTCACTGTTGAGGTTACAAACAAACATAAGTGGTTCAGACGAAATGCTAGCTGTGTGACAAGGTAAACAACAAGAACTCGCATCATGTACTTGGAGAACAACTTTTGAAGTACCTAACTCTCTTCCTAATTGAATTCTGTATAGGCATCCCGCTCACTGGCCTACTCGAGTCATATTTCAACATCACGGACACATAAAAGAGGACTCTGATAAAAAGAGGGCCAAACACTCTAGGAGACAATAGATAAAACTCGCAGAAAAATCTGACTTAAAAAAAGACAGAAAACATAAAAATTGGGACCTTCTTAGTTGGCAGCTCGTAGTTGATCAAAATGCGAGCACTAACAGGCGACTCGGAACCAAGAAGAGGAAGACACGCATCCGTAACAACAATCACGTGCGACTTCCGTTCATCTTCCTTTTCAACCTCCCCATCAGCGTCGTCTTCTCTTCCCAACTTATTCCATCTCACAGTCGCCCGACGAAAATTATCCAAGACCTCGGCTCTATGTGCTTCCGGAAGGTCACTGTACTGGAAGGCTTACAGCAACATTTTAGTGGGCTAGGGCAAACCAGATAATTACAGATACTTTCAAAACTTTGAAAAAAAAAAAGAATATAAATAATTAAGGAACCATACAAGTGAGGAAACAGAAATATAAGAAGGCAGATTCGAGAGGTTGGAGCAGACGGCGTCCAGCTCGTCGCGAGTGCTGCAACACACAACAACCGGAAGATACGGGCGCCGCCCGGCCGTGCCTAATAGATCAACCAGCGTGTCCTGTTGAGAGTTTTTTGTTCTCAGTTTTAAACAACTCTAAATACCTAAACTACTGTACGAACTTAAGCGCAAAGAAAAATCGATAATCAAGTACCATCTTGAACTGAGGTCTATCAACGGCCAGGTAGAAATGGCGTTGTAAGCTGAAAACACCACCAGGAAAAAATCAAATGATGTCCATTAGTTCCTCAACTGACGAGCTGAAAAAACCCACAATCCAAAATGTATGTTCAGCTGATGAGTGAGAGAAAACATAGCGTACCTGAAAGAAGATGATGGCGGCGATGGGGATGTGGATAGAGGAGCTTCATTAGCATCCATTTTTTCTCGCTCTTTCAGTTTCGCGGCCAAAAGTTTGCTGTGTGCGTGTTTACAGCCACTTCAATTAACGGTGCCTCTGTTTCTTCATTTTCCTTGACGACGCCAGATTTTAGACAAATTTGCATTCAGTCCTAGGGCTGGCTTGTTTATAAAATAATTTGTCCAAAATGAGTTATTTTGGTTAATTAGAATTAATTTTAAAAAAGTTGATATGGTTAATTGTTAGTGGAGTTTTAAGAATGTATTAAAATATATTTAAATAAAATGATTAAAATTGATTTGATGTAAAATTTGAAGATAGATGATTGAAAATGATAAGTAGTTAAAATTATGTGAGTTAACGAATAGTGAATTACAGTTGATGTGATGTGTAAGAATGATTGATTTGTGTTATTTAATTATATGAATAATATTAAAAACATTGAGATTGAGTAAAAGTTGAGTTAGATTTTGAGTATAAATTGAAAGAGAGTGAAATAATTTATAAACAAGCATGCTCTCAAACTTTTAGTTAGTGAAATTTGAAATTTTAAATAAAGGAAAATGCTACAAGTACATAATAAATATACATAAAAGTGTATATAACACTCACATGGAGTGGGGTCCACCTAATTTTTTGTTTTAGTAGGACCCACCTAATGTGAATGTTATATACAACTCTATGTACGGTATTATGTACTTATAGCATTTCTGTTAAATAAAAGTGGCACCAACGAAAACTGGTTTATGAATTGAGAGCTCAACCTCTCAAAGTTGTAGATCGACCCAATCGGCAATTGGTGAAACCAATAATGCGTCGACGCCTTCAATGTAGTATGAAAAGTTGTGCAACAAAATGCATCTATGTACCTTTGAAGAACTGATGTAATCTCAAACGACCTAAGGTGTCTGGTTGGGTCTATCGACCCATCGTAAGATAAACTTAGCTCGTGAAAATTATTCGGTAAATCGACCTCCAAAACCTCTTTAGTGAATAGATGGCCATGGATTCGAGGTGCACCCTGCCCTCTACCCGAGCCTACAACTCACGCATATAGGTTGCGAGCCTTTCCACAGTAGCGTTTTGAGTTGGTTTGACACCGTAGTAGGTGACAATGTCTACCTAACTTTCATCTCCTTAACTTCCTTCGGGTTGCGGTTGTTGAATCATTGGGTTTGCATGGCCGGGTGTTCGAGCTACCGCCTCGGCGACAACTTTGTCCAGCTCTATCCTGGTGAGCTGGATAACCTGATTTCCCTTGGGGTCCTCCTACACCCTACGGTCTTGCAATTTTATGCTCTCATGGTCCTGAGGTCGATTGACCTCTGGATCATCCTAATGTAATTCCCAGCCTCTCTCACAACCCCATGCTCTTGCATACCTTCCACCTCGGCTCTTTGCTGGATGACCAACGATTCCTACCTCGCCATAGGCCTCTCTAACACATACAACGTCGGGGTCAAGGTGATATGTTGTCCTACAACGTTACGTTGGGCGTGACATGCACGATGTTCTATTTTGACCAACCAGGTGGTAGACTTGAGCCCACAAGGACTTAGGACACCCAAGCTTCTTGTAAATCTCCTGCAAAATTCTTCTTAGAGTTGTCTTTATCCTTGACCTGTGATGTTCCAAAAACACTTTTGTGAAAAACCAACTTAGTCTCTTATAGCCGGAAGAAGCCTAGTTTTTTTTCCACATACGATGCTAATTTGATACGCATATTATCCTTAAATCGGGTTAAACCGGCAACATCACGAACGGTCCTCTGCTTCGAACTCTGGTGGCCTATAATACGCCGGGAAGGGGTCCCGGCAGAAAAACCTCTGACGCTCAAATCAGTACTCGTTCATTAGAGTATGTAAACTGTATGTTTTGTATGCATAAAGGTAAGTTAAAAATAAAATAGAATCTGATCACAACTTATATACTAGAGTTTCTTGTTGCCCAATTAGAGTTATGACTAGAAAATATATCTAACCGGATCCACTTTCTTATCTTATCACGTCTTTAGAATCTGACACACCTTAGCGAGATATACTTTCTATCCTTAAAAGATTGTGTCTCCTCTCACCATACTATATTTAGGTCCTTACGTCGCCTAAGGGACCTCACAACCTACCTGCCACGACTTGTACCTCAATGACCTTCTGGTCGTAACCACGACCTGTACCTCAATGACCTTCTGGTCATGAGGTCCCCTTAACTGGTCTAGCTCTTGAAGGAACCTGACCTTCAAGTCTTCTTATCAGGTCGACCTGTACCATGAGTTGTTTCAGCGAGCTCCTTGACGCAGTCGAACCATGACACTGAGCTTAAACTCCCCCAGATCAGTCATACCCAAGCTAACCGCACATGCCAGTCTACCGAGCTTTATGTGTGTTATATCAACTTTTTTTTATATATTCACATGATAAAATATTAAATTAAAAATTTTAAAAATTAAATATCCGGTTCAACAATTGACCTGGTGACTCGGTGACTGAATCGGTGACTCGAAGGCCTAACTCTCGGGATAGATTTAAAAACTATAAAAAATGACAAAATGTATAGTTTATTTTTTCTACATACCAAAATTTAAAAGTTTTAATTCCACAATAAAGACCTGATCGAGAAAATCTTCTTCCAAACTTCCCAATCATTGGCGGATCTATACAGGGGTCCGTAGGAGCACGTGCCCCTGTAGAATTTTTTAGTAATACATAGTATATATATTATATGTATAAATGTATTATTATATTGACATAAAAAAATACATGTTATTAATTATCATGCAAAATTATTTCAATGTAAAAAAATAAAAAAGAAATATTTAGAATTATTTAACCTTCAATAGTATGTTATTTTTCAAGTTTTGGAATTTATGCTTGTGTTATATTCAACTTCTTGTTTATTTCATTTTCCCTCTCAAAATACATAAAAAACAAATATTATACATAAATATATATACTACATAGAGATTGGATCAAATGTGTTCATATTCTTAAAATGAGAATGTAAAACTCAACTCTAGTTATTAAATAAGAAACAAGGTGTACGATCAAGATTTAATCTTTTTATTTTTTAATTCATTAGTTAAATATCGATTTGACCGTTAACCTACAACGTTGACCGTTGTGTCCCCGTTATCCTTAAAGTTTGCATTCGCCTTGTTCCCAATGACACCTATCGTTTTGGTATTTGAAAGTTTGAAGATTTTTCAATCTATTTTACTACTATTTGATTCACCCACTTTACTAGTGCGTGGCCCGTGCAATGCACGGGAAACAATATTACGATCGTATTATAAATTAAATATATAAATAACATTAATCATGATTTATGTATTGTTTTTACATTAAACCAGGTTGGACACAGTTCGACCGGATGAACGGAGAACCGATTTATAACCAGTCTAGTTCGCTTGAATAAGATATTTGCTCTTGAATCCATCAACACCAGTCGGTTGGATTTGTAGGATCGATACGATTTTTTAAATAAATTTTGTTATATTTAAAATCATTTTAAATAAAATTGCACATTTAAATAAAGTAGAGATTTATAATTATTTATCAATTAGTTTAAACATTTGACTTTATAAATTTTTTAAATATATAAGTAACACATTTTATTTAAATTTATTACAAAAAGTACTATATATATAAGCATTATATATATATATATTAAAATGTTTATAAATTAAAATCTGAACAAACCACAAATGATTTAATAAAATAGCTTGATCGTTTCGATGACGGTCCAGTTCTGAGAACCTTATATTTAATGTACATTAATAAATATTATAATAAAATATTATTTAATTCACATAAATATTAATAAAATGATATATAAATATTCATAAATCATTAAACATGTTGTCATAAGAGTATTGTTAATACGATTATTTGAAATTTGGACTACATCACATTCACGTAAGAAAATATTTTCAATATAAAATTTATATTTAGGTTCAATAATTGATTTGGTGTGATCGAACTGATTCATAACTTAATCACATGGGACCAACCAAGTTGTGTCAAGTTTTTTGACTATTTTAAATATCACCTAAAAATAATTCAATCAACCTGGACAGTACCCTAATTCAATCACCTGATTGATCCGAAGAAATTTTCTTATTTTCTTTAAATATATTTAATTTTATGAAATAAAACTATTTTATGATTCATATAATAAATGTCTACACCAAATGATAGTATATTAAGATTATAAATTATATATCTTAAGATGAAATCATTTTTACTTTATGCATATTAATAAAAAATAAACATAGTAATTTTCAAAAAATTAAGAATAATTAATTGATTATGCAATTTAAAGACTATATTTAGCGTTCAATTTTTTTAAAGACACAAATATAAAGACCGAGATTCTAAAATTTTTGTTATATTTTGAATTGAGATACCGAGATTTTAATTTTGTTCGTTGTTTCTAAGAAAAAAGTAAAAATAAGAATAAAAACATACACACTTAATAAATCTTAGCCGGATTTTTTAAATCTATACTTATATTAAAAGGTATACCATTTACCAATTTAGTACAAAGAAAAGTCAACTACATTTATTGCATTACTATTTCTGTATTATACAATCTATACTTATACAAAAGGAAATTATATTTACTATATTTAATATCCAGAAAAGTCAACTGTATTAAATGCTATTACTATTTTGGTATTATAATATTTTATTTATTTAATTGATTTATTTATTTATTTTATTTTAAAAAGATAAGTATAATAAAAAGATTTTAATAATAAAAAAATCAAATACCAAATAAAAATGTACACTTTGACTTATTTGATTATATTTGGTATTTGATTATACCAAATATATTCCTATTTAGTATATACATTAAATACTTACTAAAGTATTTATTTTTTTTATTTGTCAAAGTTAAGTATAGATTTGTTTATATTATCAAATCATAAAAAAAATATTAAATTCATATTGTTAAAAAAAAATTATATAATTTTATAACAATTCTACTACACTATTTAACAATATTTCTTTTTTATTATATAATTAAATATTATATGGTGAACAATAATAAGTGAAACTATTACTTTCTCTTATATCAAGGGATAAATTTATATGCTAAAATTAAATTTTTATTAGTATAAATGTTTTAGTGAGATAATATATTAATTATTTTACAAGCTAGCTCTAACATGCTCATATTTAATGTTTTAAAAGATGTAGAAAAAAAACTTACAATAACTCTATTGTTTTTTAGACTTAAACGTTGATTAAAAGAGGTAAAAATTCCTAATTTTTAGACTTAAACGTTGATTAACACCATAGATTGAGAGTTTATATTTAGTAAAATTCCTAATTGTAATAAAAAAATTAATTTTTGCTATATTTTAGAATATTTTCAAATTTATTATAAAAAAAAAAGAAAAAAAACTACAATGAAAAAGCAAGTCAGCTATCGATTTGTTGTACTCCTCAAATCACATTCACAATTTGGCTACAAGGAAAGGAAACTCATTGATCTAAAATATTATTTTGTCAGTAGTCTTAATGTACAAGAGACTTTAAGACTCTACTTGAATATTATAAAACTTTTATTGAACATTGTATAATTTTCTTGCGTACTATAAATTTTTATTGAATATTGCATCTTATAATATAATATTCTCCAAATAAATATATCTCATGCTTTGCACGGGTCACGTACTATATACATCTCGTACATTTTTCTTTATTCATGTTTATAATTATAAGCCTGGATAAATAGCCTTAAAATTGTGCACCCCGTGCATCGCACGGGCTCTGTACTAGTAATAAAATGAACTATAGCCCGAAATTTAAGGTAATATTTAATGTTGTATGATTTTTAAGGAAAAAATAAGAAAAATAATAAAACTTACTATTTATAGGCTGCATTAAATTCTGACCTATTTTTTGTTATTATTTTTGGTAAATGTTAATTCTTATTATATATATATATATAGATATAGATTGTTGTTAATAATGACTTAGATGATATTTGTTTAATCTAATGGTTTGATTGGAAAACTAATGTATGTAATAAATGATCGGCTTCATATATTTTGTGATAAAACCCCCTCGTCTTCCCATTTTTCACTCGGTCTCACCACTCATTTTAACTTATTATAGTCCTTGAAAAGCAAGTAAAGAAAAAGATAAAGAAAACAAAATCAAACACGCATATGTGACTTCATGTCTCTCATAATCTCTCTGGATCTGTAATCTCTCTCTCTCTCTCTCTCTACCCCTCGGACTAAAGTACGCAGTGGGCTTCTATTCCTATCACACCTTTCTGTACTCGGCGCACGCTAACAACCCTGCCGCCTTCTATCTTACGCCGTTCCGAGGTATGCTCTTATCCTGTGCCATTCACCTACTTACCTCCATTTCTCGCTTGATCGGAACAATCCATTATTCATTCTCAATCGCAGTCCATTTAAAATCGCCACATACTCTTTTTCGTTACATTTATCTGCTCATATAATAAGATTGCCTGAAAATAAACTCGATCTTTTAATTAGAACTGTTGTTATCGCTAATACCTTGCTTCCGTAGCTAGGGTTTCTATTTTATTTCCCCCTTTCTTACTCCCCATGAGATCTGGATAGAGTAAGTGGTAATTCATTCATTTCGTTGTATTACAGGGGAGATACAGAGTGACAAGTGCTTAGGGTTGGGGCTTTAATGCGTTGTCGTGGTCTAGGAGCTCCTCGATTTCCATTTCGGGTGTCGGTTTTGGTTTCGATATGGCCAATCATGGCTCCAAGTTTGTTTCAGTGAATCTGAACAAGTCTTACGGGCAACAGCATCAGCCTTCCCACCACGCTCATTACCCACATTTCAATGGGGGCGGCAGCTCTTATGGGTCTGCTGGAGCTGGACGGGGCAGGCCTGGAAGTGGAGGTGCAGGTGGCATGCTGGTTTTATCTCGGGCTCGTGGTGCCGCACCCAAGGTTGTTCCTAAATTATCGGTCCCACCCCCCTTGAACTTGCCGTCCCTGAGGAAAGAACATGAGAAATTCGATGTTTCGGGCTCGGGAGGGCCTGGTGCGGGATCTGGGACTGGGAGTGGGTCGAGACCTACTTCATCTGGTATGGGCTGGACAAAGCCTGCTTCATCGGCTGCTGCATTGCCTGAGAAGAATGAGATTTCTGCTGAACTTTCTGGGCTTGATGTAGTAGCTGATGGTCGGGCCATTGGTTCTTACATGCCGCCTTCTGCTCGTTCTACTGGGGCGGTTGCCTTGGCTCCCTCGAATGCGGTTCGGGATGTTCCTCCAGTTGTCGACAAAGCTGTTCTGTTGAGAGGCGAGGATTTTCCTTCTCTGCAGGCGGCGAGGCCCGTATCATCTGGAACATCACAAAGACAGAAGGATGGCTCGAATCAGAAGCAAAAACAGGCTGCACGTGAAGAAGTGGGCCAGGATAAGGAAGGCGGATATCATTTGGGTCCATTGGCTGATATGGGTCGATCTCCTAGTGATACAATTGGGAACCGGCTAGTGGAAAATGGTCGCAAAGACCAAGGAGCTGGAAACGGGCGAATGAATGATCAGACCAGGAAGAAGGAAGAATATTTTCCCGACCCGCTCCCGCTGGTTCGCATGAACACGAGGTCTGATTGGGCGGATGACGAGCGTGACACGGGCCATGGATTTGTTGACAAGGGAAGGGATATTGGGTACTCAAACAGCGAAAGTTATTGGGACAGAGATTTTGACTTGCCCAGGCCTAGTATTTTGCCTCACAAACCAGCTGTGCAGAATCAATTTGACAGGTGGAATCAATGGGACAATGAAACTGGGAGGAAATTTCCTGGTGAAGTCCCTAAGGTGGATACGTACAGCAAAGACGCCGGAGTTCCCAGTCGGGAAGGTAAGGAAGTCAACAAGTGGAGAAACTCGCCGCCGTCCAAAGACAGCTTTAGCGCCCAAGAGTCAGGTAGTTATAGAGCTGATGCTGGTGCAATAATGGCTGGAAATAATAACTCTATGAAAGAGAATAAATATGTCCCGCCTCATTATGGAGATACCAGTAGAGATGGGGGGATGGTGCACGGTAAGGATTCTCCCGCATTTGGGAGGAGGGAGCTGGGACCTGTGGGGCAACAGCATCAGCAGAGAAATAATACGATGGAATCATTTAATAACCGTGGGCCAGGCCATAACTCCCGCAATGTCTCTGAACCTCCTAATAGATACAGAGGCAATACTTTCCAGAGTAACAACCTATACAGAACTTCATTTGCCTCAAGTGGGAAAATGCCACACGTGGCTGACCCGTTGCTGAATATGGGCCGCAGCAAGCGTTTTCAGAACAGCGAAAGGTCCGAGGACTCTTTCTCGAGGGACTATGGCTCCTCGGGTTTTGAGGAGAGGGATCTCTTTTCTGAGGGGCTTGTTGCTGGGGTGATCAGAAGGAAGAAAGATACCTCCAAACTGACCGATTTTCATGATCCAGTACGGGAATCTTTTGAAGCTGAGCTCGAGAGAGTCCAGAAGATGCAGGAGCTTGAGCGACAGAGGATTATTGAAGAGCAAGAACGGGCTATGGAGCAGGCCCGAAGAGAAGAGGAGGAGAGACAGAGAAGGATTAGGGAAGAAGAGGAAAGAAGGAGGAAAATGGAGGAGGAAGCCCGTGAAGCTGCATGGAGAACTGAACAGGAGCGACTTGAGGCCATAAGAAAAGCTGAGGAGCAAAGAATTGCGAGGGAAGAGGAAAAGAGAAGGATACAATTTGAAGAAGAGAGGAGGAAACAAGCTGCCAAACAGAAGCTCGAGGAGTTGGAAGCTAGGATGGCCAAGAGGCAGGCTGAGACTTCAAAAACTGATGCTGTTGTGTCCAAGATGATTGTGGATGAGAAACTGGAATCAGAGGTGAAGGAAAGGCATGTTTCCAGGAACCTTGATATGGATACATGGGAAGATAGTGAGAGAATGGTGGAGAATGTGGTGGCATCTGGTTCGTTCGATTTGTCTAGTCACAGCATGCTTGCTGAGGTGAGCTCGAGGCCTTTTCCACCTCTAGAAGGTTCTTCAAACTTCGCTGACAGAGGAGAAGCAAATAATTCTTTTAAAAGGGACGGGGAATTAGAAAATAGAGGTGGATTCCCAGGACCACTATTGGACCAGGATACCATACATTACAGCCCAAGACGCGATGCATTTGGTGGTGGCAGAGGAATTCCTCGGAAAGAGTTCTATGGTGGAGCTGGATACATGGCTTCTAGGGGATATCTGAAAGCAGGAATGCCTGAGCCCTACATGGAAGAGTTTGGATATCATAAAGATCATAGGTGGAACCCTTCTCCGGGGAATGCCGACAGGTACGGTAAATTTAGCGAGATGGAACCAGAATTTCATGATAGTTTCGGGGAAAGATATGGTGATGGTGGCTGGGGGCAGGGACGCCATGGGGTCAATTCCCGCCCTCCTTACCCAGAACGTTTGTATCCACATCTTGAGTCAAATGATCTTTATAACTATGGGAGATCCAGGTATTCTGTGAGGCAGCCACGTGTCCTTCCGCCTCCTTCTCTTGTTCCATCTCAAAGGCCTAATACGAGGGTTACTGACCAACTTGCTGGGCCTCCGTCATTTCTCGATGACCGCATTCATTATCCGCGTGCCGCAGGAACTGAACCTACAGCTTATTATGACGATAATCAAGGAGGTCTTGAGCCATCTGACTTATTTGGGATGCAGCAGGAAAATAGTACTTCGGAGGACCAGAACTTGAATAATGCATCGAGGTGCGACTCGCAGTCATCCCTATCTGTTTCCAGCCCGCCAACTTCTCCCCCTCATTTCTCTCATGATGAGCTGGAAGAATCTGGGGACTCTCGAGCAGGATCATCTCTAGCGAAAGGGAAAGGAAGTTTGTTGGCTGGAACTCGACCTGTTGCCCCTGATGGTAATTCGAGAAATGGTACAAGGCTGATTGTTTCGGATAATGTTTCTGTCGTTGAAGATGAAGAATGGACCGTCGAAAATCAGAACACTTTACAGCAGCAAGAAGAATATGATGAGGATGAAGATGGTTACAGAGAGGAGGATGAAGTCCGTGACAAGGATGATGAAAATCTCAATCTGGTCCAAAACTTTGAAAGGCTGGAACTCGACGAATGCGAGTCACCTCATGCAATGGAAAATGTGGTTTTAGGTTTTGACGAGGGTGTTGAAGTTGTAATACCAAGCGATGATTTTGAGAAAACTATACACACTCAGGAAAAGGGATCGTTTGAGGTTACCGAGAATGCTGTTGATATCACGAATAAAAGTGGCATCGTTGATGGGTTTCCTTCAGATCCACCTAGTTATCTGCCCTCAGATGATTCACTTGGAATTAATACTGATAGCGCTACAAATGTACCAGAAGAAGTGGCATCTCAGAGCTGTATTGGTCAACGTGTTACAACTGCTGCTTTATCTGATGGTACTGGTTTAGCTGCTTTGCAGACAAATTCATCAACTGCTGCTGCTAGTCAGCCTAGTGATACTGTGCCATCTTTATCTTCTTCAGGAAGTCAGGCTGATTTACCTGTCAAGCTTCAATTTGGGCTATTTTCTGGTCCATCCTTGATACCATCTCCAGTGCCTTCTATACAGATTGGTTCCATACAAATGCCTCTGCATATCCATCCTCCTGTTGGCCAATCCATGACTACTCATATGCATCCATCTCAGCCTCCCATGTTCCAATTTGGTCAGCTTCGTTATACATCTCCCATCTCCCAGGGGATTTTACCGATGGCCCCTCAATCCATATCTTTTCTTCAACCTGACATGATGGGCCATTTTAACTTGAACCAAAATGCCGGAGGCTCTGTGGCTAACGAACCTTCTAATAAGAATGCAGCCAAGAGTGAGGTGTCAAATCTTCCAATAAACAATCAGCCAAGTTTTATTTCTTCATCAACTGAGCAATCTGGTGAAGTTCTGAATGCATTTTCGAATACAACAGATGTGGATGAGGAGAATTCTGAAAAAACTAAGTTGGCATCTGGCTCACTAGCAGAAGAGAAAAGACAGAATTCTGCGGGTTCGAAGAGTTACTCATCATCATCAAATGCAAAGGCATCTGAACTTGATTCACAGCATTCACAATCAACAATGCAGTCCGTCATTGTAGGCAATAGAAATTATGGCGGGCCTAGAGGTTTGGGTCCATTATCTGGTGGAAGGGGGAGAAGATTTACCTACGCAGTGAAAAATACATACACGAGAGTATCTGTCCAGGATCATGGTATGCCATCAGATTCAAATGGGTTTCAGAGAAGGCCACGACGAACTGTCCAACGGACTGAGTTTCGGGTTCGCGAGAATAATGACCGGAGGCTGCCACCTGTATCTTCTAATAATGTGGGCTTCAATGATAATAAGTCTAATTACAACGGAAAGACTGTTGGAGTGTTTGCTAGAAGTGGGTCCAAGAGAGGTACTGTTTCTAATAGAACCATGAAGCCAAGGATTGAATCAGAGTCTTCGGTCTCTGGGAGTGTAACTTCTCAGGAGGTTGCTGGAGACAGGGAAGCAAAAGAGATGGCAAAAGATAAGGGTCAGGATGCCTTGCACCCCGGTGAAGCAAATTTGAAGAGAACTGCATCTGAGAATGTGGATGCCCCCTTACAGAGTGGTGTCATTTGCGTGTTTAAGCAACCTGGTATAGAAGCTCCTAGTGATGAAGATGATTTCATTGAAGTCCGATCAAAAAGGCAGATGCTAAATGATCGACGGGAACAGAGGGAAAAAGAGATCAAAGCTAAATCAAGGACCCCTAAGGTATCAGTGCTTATTCGAATTACTTCTTAAATACAATTTCTTGATTGTCTAGTGATATTTTTATTTTGTCACCCAAATTTTTCCGTCTTCTAAGGGCAATCACATTTTTCTTTTGTCATATATCAGCCACCACGTAAACCAAACCCTTCTAGACCAAATGATGTAGTCTTGAGAAGTCATAATAAACTGCCGATACCACTGGGGAATGAAGAGGCCCAGAGTTCTCAATTGGAATTTACTTCATCCGTCAGCCCTCACTTGGCGGACAATGAATCAACTGGGTATACAACTGCAGCTTCACAGCTTCCAGCTGGAACTCCTCCATTTAATTCTGACGCTCAGGCTAGCAAGTGTGTGATCCATAATGAAAACTTCATCTTATTATTATTTTAACAAGAATACTAAACTTTTCTTGTATGCTTGCATTAGCAGGTCTGACCAAGCAGGTCCAGTACAAGTTGTTTCTGATAGCAGAACAGAACGTGAGTCTGGATTGAATATCGACAGCAGAAATAAGGTAATAAATCGCACCAAATCATTTAGACTACCTGGGAGTACTGCAGGTATTAGTCAGAAGCTGTGTGTTCAACCTGTGTTGGTATTAATATTGATTAGTGATAGCTTGTCGATATACTCCAAAGCTATAATTGTAACCCCAGAAGTATTCTAACTTAGTTTGTTGTGCAAAATGATTTAGTGTTCAGTTGGAAGGTTAGAGGAAACTTATTTTAAAAAAAAAAAATTCAACTTTGATCTGAAAGTCCAGTTTAATGTAATGGTATCACCACAAATGCTTATTATTGACAGAATAATCAACCGGTGTGCATATTGTTTTTCCATTTTCCTTTTAACTTTTACTTCCAGATGTTTTCATGTGCTATGATGATTCTGTGAAGGGCTGATTACATGAATTTTTTGTCCGCTACCCCATATCTCTCCCCTACAGTGCCCCCTTTACCTATGATCAAAGTACAGTTAATGCTTGTTGTCAAAAAATAATACACTTTATGCATCCGAATTTTCTACTGCCAATGTTGGAGAACTCTGAGAGGAATCTGATGATTATTTTTTGGAAGGATTATAAAAATGGTATTCCAAGTACAGTCATTGCTTGTTGTCAAAAAATGATATCCTTTATGCATCCAAATTTTCTACTGCCAAAATGTTGGAGAACTCAGGAATCTGATGATTCTTTTTTGGAAAGATTATAAAGATGGTATTCCTTTTATGTAACTGTATCTGTAGGAACTGTGTTAATAAAATTCTATGTTGCTGCTAGGTTATGTCTTTGAGCCAGTCACAAATTGATGAGTCTATGAAACCTGCTCAGTATGATTCACATGTATCTACTGTTGGGGGTCATTCCGGCACAGCTACTGATCCAATCCTGCCTACATCATCCAGTTTGACAAAGGAAAAAGCATTTTCTTCTGGTTCTAGCCCAATCAGTTCCCTACTTGCTGGAGAGAAAATTCAATTTGGTATTTTGGTCAAATATAAGCTCATTATCTGTTATGTAAATATATTCTACCCTCAAGATTCTCATTTTTTATCCTACTGTGCCATCAGGTGCTGTTACGTCTCCAACAGTCCTCCCCTCTACCACCCGTGTTGCATCACACGTGATTGGTGCTCCAGGTTCCAACCGACCGGACGCTCAGAAGTCCCGTGTTTTTCCCATAACCGAGAAAGACGATTCTCTTTTCTTTTCAAAAGAGAAGCCCCACTCTGACTCTGTGCAAGATTGCGAGGCTGAAGCAGAAGCAGCTGCTTCTGCTGTTGCTGTTGCTGCCATAAGCAGTGACGAGATAGTCGGGAATGGCAGTGATGCCAAAAGTTTGATTAATGGCATTACAACAGGTAGCACTGAGGTCCAATCTAACTTTTAGAGAGGAAGAGAGGAATAATGGCTGTTGTGTCCTTGTTAGGTTAACTTTTTTATCAAAAACTATTACTCTTGTGGGTTTATTACCAAAATAAATAAAAAATAAATAATAATAATTATAATAAAAAATTGCTGAAAACTCTAAAAACCACGAACAGTTTCTTGATTCTGTGCTTGATGTAAGGGGATAAATGTCATGTCTGGAATGATTTTGCTTTTGAACAGGGTAACAATTAATACACGAGTAAAGTTCAAAATTTCCTTTTTTTGATGTTTGGTAATTTTCGTAAGCATTTATATTCTGTT